CGCACTCGATGCCGCACTCGAATTGCACTCGAGTTGCACTCGCGCTGCACTCGCACCGCACTCGTTTCATTTTTATAGGGGTAGGCACGTCATCGCAGCTGTCTGGCTCGGCGGATGCACTTTGGAACCCTTTCGCGAGTCGATCGAGGTCTTCCTTACGGTGAATGAAGACCGGGCCGGCGTATCAGAGCGGACGCTGGCTGTGTTGCGGGTTTGCCCGTTGTAGGTTCGAGAGACCGTAAGGATACAGGGCTACAGTCTCTTCGTTATAGGCGCCATGACCCACGTGGTCCAAGGGACCATGCAATGTGATCCCGTAACACACAAGCGTCCGTTCTAGTCTGATAAGTACACCGACTGGAGTTATTTTGAAATTTGAAACCTAGACGCCAACCTTACTGAAACTGGTCGTGTATTTACGCTTAATTGTGGCAATGCATGGGGGTAGGCCGTGTAATCTTTCCTTTACGCTTCAGAAGCCACCAGTCGCCAGTCGTCTGGCCTGGGGCCTGGGTTTTGTGTGTCACGCTGCCGTGCGATTCCGGAGATCGTTCAAGAGGGGCTCTCCTATACCTCCTGTATAGCTCCGTCCTTGTTGCACTCATAGGGCAGGTATAGGAGAGCCCCTCTTGAACGATCTCCGGAATCGCACGGCTGTACGCTGTGTGCGCAGGCCATACTCGGGCAGGGGCGGAAGGGGGAGCAGGAGGGGACTATGCGTCCTGTCCATCCTCGTGTTCTCTGCGTGTTTGAGGTTCCGCCCAGGGCTATAGTTCCCAGAGGAGATGAAGTTTGAAGAGCAGGGGTAAGAGAAAGAGCGATGCAAGAGGCGAAAAGAGCGAGCGTCGAGTGGGCGAGCGACTGAGTGGGAAGCAGCGCAAGAGGGAGGGAGAGAGGGAGAGAGAGCGAGAGAGCGAGAAAGGGGCATTCCAACCTGCTAGGTAGAGAGGACATTCGATGAAGTACTGTGGGGGTCACACTCTGGCGGCGGACCCGTGGGCGACGACGGTCGTGGCGGGAGACAGTATAGCGGCCGCGGCAGGGGGGAGGGGTTAGTTTGAGCGAGGGGGTTAAGTCCCGAGGGAGCGGGATCGCTCCACCACGCTGCGCCGCCGGGCGTGGTGGAGCGTTTAAGGGGTCGAGAGGAAACTGGCGGCAGAGGTTGGCGCGGCGGTGGAAAAAGGGGGAA